GGAAGCCTGGATCAAGTCTGATTTTTGCGTTCAATTTAGCTTTCTGCAGTGGATTTAATGCAAAATGAAGCTGGCCCAAGAATAATACAATGGATTGAAAAGGCTAACTGAATTAGTGGGCTTAGAGGAATACATTTGTAAAGTGGCAGAAGTCCCTAGTCATAAAAAGGTTTCTTAAAATGGGATTTACTGGCTAATCACACTGATATTTTAGCATGTTGCCAGGCCTAAAAAATTAGTCATGTTTGTTTATTTTGGTAAAGACTCTAGTTTAGACTGTCAGCTGGTAGTGTGCTGTGAACAGCAAAGCACCTTGCATTTAACCAGCACCATAACCACCCGCTCGGTGCAGCTGAAAAACCCCTGTGTGAGAGGAGCGACACTTTTCTAAAGCTTTAATTCCACAAACGATGCCGGGGCCACCTCCACCAGGGTAATGTGCCACCACGCAACCTGAGGGAAATGGTGTTTCTCCCCGTAAAAAGCTCCTGCGAGGGGCTTGGGTTTTTTTTAAGGTGCCCCCACAAAAGGTGCGACTTAACAGTTTATCTCCGCGGCCGGCGTTTTAACCAAGAGTTTTGCAAGCGGCTTTCTGAGGAATATATGGTGTCCATCTGTTCTCGGGGAGCTCCCGGCATTGAGTCGGATTTGTTTTTTAATAAAATGCAGTTTACACGTTTATAAATGAGGCATTCTGTGTTTGTGGAAAAGGATAAACTGTTACCTTCCCTGGAGGATTGTGTATCCCCGGCCTCCTTGAGGCTAGAGAATAGGCCATTGGAGAACTCCCTCATTACTGATTGTCTCAATGCAGAGGAAGGGCAAAGTCTTGGTAGCTTTTGATAACCAGTTTCAGCATTCAGCAGGCTTAGCTATTAGTCATGCATCTTAGCCTTTCCCTATTTACTTTCAAAACACTTAATAAAAATAATAAAAGATTAGGTATAAAATGAAATATTTGTTTGGTACACAGCACCTCGGTATCTGCAGCTTCCACACACCGCAGTGGTTCAGTCTTCTGGGATATTTCGCGTCGATAGAACCATTTGAATTTGTTACCAGTATTAACATAGGAAGCCCTGGAAAAAGATAATTGTAGTTTCCTTCGCTGTAAAAGGCTTACTTACAAATCTGGCTTTGGAAAGTTATAGCTGATGAAACGCAGTTCAGCGGGGTAGTATTATAATCCTACCTTTTAGCCTTCATCCAGCATTAGTGGTTTATCTCAATGGGCATAAAATAAGAAACTAGTTCTCCTTGTCGTACAAGGCTGGGGGACTGCACAAAACGAGCCCATTCTCTGCCGGGCAGCACCGAGGCGGCAGGGAGGGAGGCGAAAGGCACCGCACGGCGGCACGGTGGCGGTCGGGGCATGCACGCCGCTGCTTGGCAGCAGCAAGCACAACGCTCGACAAATCAAAGTTGCAAAGGAGAGAGATTTTCGTTGAAAATCTGCCTCGCTGACAAACGCCAGGCACCGCCGGTAAACGCGTGGGCCTGCGTGAGGGTGCCCAGATAGCAAAAAGCCAATCGTTGCCACCACGCATTAAACAAAAAAAAGGAGAAGTTAATCACTCTTCTCCTTTTTTTTTCTTTTTTTTTTCTTTCCCCTGCAGCCGATACTTTCATCCTCTCTAAACTGCAGTCCGAGTTGGGAAATCCTCTTTGCAAAAACCTGCATTGTGTTCCCCCACCGAAACATACCTTCCGAATTTGTGTCTTCACGTTTCTAAACAAAAGAAACTGTTGTGTGCCTTGTTTTTCTAGCAGAATGGAACAGAGGAGCATCGTGCTGAGCGATTACAAAAAGCAACAGAACGTTTTAGAAATCCTGTTGTGTTCAGCAAGGACTCCACCGTCAGAAAAACTCAGCTCCAGTCTTTCAGTCAATACGTGGAGAGCAGACCAGGTAGGAGAAAAATATAAAACATGTTTTCCCATCTTATGATTTAATAATATTTAACAATAAATATATTAAAACCCGATAATGTAAGTCCCCATTTCAATACATAAATATCAAGCTTTATAATAATTTTACATGTCTTTCCCCTTTTTTCAAGAGATGAAAAGGCAGAGATCAATACAGGAAGATACAAAGAGAGGAAATGAGGAGAAGGCTGCGATAACTGAGACTCAGAGGAAGCCATCAGAAGATGAAGTGCTTAATGTATATTAATTTTTTGTCTGGTTTCATGATTGCTGATAATTCCAAACTGTATGTGGAAATAGTGCCTTTATTTGTTAAAATGAGATGTTAGGTTTTTTTAGATGTCAATCTCCAGTGCATTCAAAGCAGAGTGAGAGGGGTGCACTGTTGAATTAGTCTGCAGTGTGGTGATAATTGTCAGATAAAAAAAATGAATTTTTCAGAGTTCCACAGCCCCAGCTTCCTTGAGACATTTCCATCAGGGCACTTCCCATAAAGAGATTCCAGTATTGATCTACCGGGAGGATTTTAATTATTACAATAGCAGATACCGCAGAGCTGCAGTTAGAGGGAAGAGTCACATGAGACCTGCTAGAATTTCTCAGCCAACCCATTTTGTTGGCTTGGGTTAATGGGTGTTCAACCTTTCCATTATCCAGATCAGCCGTGAATTACTAGCTGAATGATGTTTGCATTAATATAATATATATGGTAATTTCTTCACTTAATTAACGGGGAGGTTCAGCTCAGTAGGGGTATGGGCTGATCATGTGTAAAATTGATTTGTGAGGGAAATATTTGATAGACCGCAGGGAGAAAGCTGGTTTTGATGGACAGCTGTGGGACAGAAGCAGGAAGAACAAGTTTTACCCTGATTTTTTTTTTTATTTTTTTTTGTCTGAAAACACAACACAGCCTTTGATGGTGGTCGTTTGGTGCTCTCCACAATTTATCTAAATACGTTTGTAGTTTTTGCTCAAGCAGGCTGGAGCTGAGTAGAGGTTTCTTACCACTGCTTCATCTACCCTAAAACATCCAACTTTTTACGAACCCAACAGTTATTTTTAGCACAGTTGTACTTTTGCAGAGCTGAAAAGCTCTGGCACAGTAAGTTCGCATTATATATGCAGATGATACACATGAACTCTGGGGATATTTCAGCCTGACACAGCATTTCTTTTCATCTTCTAATAACAATTGTTAACAATTATGCATGCTGACATTAGGGAAGTTTTCATACTATTTTCAATTAATTATAGTTGATGAAAGGCAATATATTGCACATCACCTCAACTCTGTGCACTAATTTTTTTTTTTTTCCTTCAGGGACTACTCTCAGGTAGTTCTGCTGTCGATTTTCTGGCTGTATGTCAGGTAGAAAAAGGTTTCCATTAGAGCTGATACTACTGGCTGTTATGTAGGAAGAAAAGGATTATTGGGGACATAACACCTATTAAATTCACATCCCCTTAATTTTAAACTTCTGGGCTCATTACTGGTCTGGGAGTTCAGCCATTCCCTTAACCCTCACTTTGATTATGTCTTTATTTGAAATCATATGCTGGCAGGATTATTATTATTATTATACCTGTCACTGGAATACGAAGCTGAATTGACCATTTCAGACACATTTACAGGAGAACAATTGAAAATGTTCGGTGAAAGTATCTGCAGCTCTTACACAGCAACAAGTTAGCCTCCAGTAGGGAGATAAGTCTCAAAAAAAAATTTTTTTTTTCAGTTTTCAAGGAGCAGTGATCTTACTTGCATCCTTTATAGAGTACAAATGAAACATGAAGTCCTGTTGCCATTTTTTTCCCATCTTAAACCATCTCCAAGGCTCCGTGGCACAGTTTGGGAGGGCTGCTCAGGACTGCAAGGAGGTGGAAGGGGTTCCTCAGAAGGAGTCATATTTTGTTCCCAACTTCTTCTGAACAAACCTGCTTCGGGAATGGCTGTTTGCTATTGAATGTATCCTGTGATAACCCAGCACAGGTGGGTAGAAGTTGTTGAGCCACATGCAAAGAAGTTTGAGGTATTGGAGGACTGTTCTCCTGCTCCCAATGGGAAAGCCAAACAGTTCGTTGGCTGCTTGTTGGAAGTATTTGGAGAGGTTTGTGGTCATCTGCAGGGCAGCACCGAGACCTCATGGGGCACAAGGGGCAAGCTTGACTCGTTAGCATTTCTGTGACTTTCTCAGGAAGGAGAGAGCTCAGTTTGATTTCTCTAACACTGGTGCCAGGGTCTTGGTGTGGTGCAGCAGGGCAGAACAGGTCAGTCCCCGTGCACCTGGGAGCCTGCACCAGGCGGCTTGTCACTGCTGCCCAGGATAAGAATCACAGTTAAGGTAATTAGCAGTATTTTTCCAGATCACTGTGTAGCAGGGCAATTGCCTGCAGTAGGGGAAACCCAGAGAGGCATTACAGCCTCGTCTGTTGAAAGACATCATTACAGTTGACCCAGAGGAGCTAAACAAGCTAGGGAGCTTGGTTTGGGTTTGGTTTTAATCTCCAAAGCCCACGTTTAAATTGTCATTAGAGACTCTTGCGGTAGTTCTTCTAGCCCCTAAAGTTAGGGTTTTAAAACTGAATAAGAAATGAAATGGCACATTAAATAGCGCTTTATTTGGATTACGTTTCCTTTCATTATGCTTTTCTACAGCTGTTTTTATGTACTTTGAAATTCACATAATTTGTTTCTACAAGTCAGCCAGGTAGTTAAAAACTGCAAAATCAAATGTTCCTTACAGGAAAAAGCGGGATGTTTTAATAAACAAATGAGGACATTTGGCAAAATTGTAAAGTTTATGAAATGTAAGTGTTAGCTTTTTGGTAGCAAGCATGATATTTGGTTGTTTAGGTAAGTGCCTTACTAAGTGTTTGTGGAAAGGAAAAATGCAACTTACAAGTGATGTTTTTTCTTCTTGTTTGTTCTCTTTAACAGAAAGGGTTCAAAGACACCAGTCAGTATGTTGTAGGAGAATTGGCAGCACTAGAGAATGAGCAAAAGCAAATTGACACCCGTGCCGCGCTGGTGGAGAAGCGCCTTCGCTATCTCATGGACACAGGTACGGTGCCCAATTACACTGTAAACAGTTTTGGCAAATTGAGCGTTCACAAACTCTTATAGAGTTTTGGAAGTGTGAATCTTTGAAGCCTGAATGTTCAGCAAAACTGCCTTGAAAATAAAAAGGCTGCGATTTGCAGCCACCTCTCTGGGCCCTGGTGATAAGAGTGCCTTCATGGGAAGTGATAACTTGCCCTGATACCGTGTGAGCCAGCACTATTGAACAGTGTGCTCATCCATGCAGAGTTGGAATACACATCTGTGCCTCATTGATATGCCACTGCTTAAAAAAAAAAAAAAAAAAAGAAAAAAGAAAAAAAAAAAGTAAGATCTTCACTGTTCTACTTATTCAGTGGGAAAAAAAAGATTTGGCCAGCTAAAGCCATGTACTGCATGAAACAGCACAGTACGTGGGGGAAGGCTCCATTGACTAGATCACTGAAATTTGAGAATACTATCTGGTTACTGATGCTCCACAATTATTTTATTTATTTATTTATTTTGGGGAGAGCACGTCTTAAAAAGTCTGTACTGCTTGGTTTTATGGGTGCAGCTGAAAAGATTAAAATATAAGGGTGATTTTTTTTTTTTTTGTTAAAATGTGATGGTTTTGACTTCTGTGATGCACGTTACACGGATATTATTAAGTGCTGATGGTCATCAGGAATGGAGGGGTAGGCAGCATCAGTTTGAAACAACTGATGCTTTGATGTTTCAAAAATAAATAATATCATAGGTCCAGAAAGTGTTCTTCCTGTCCCTTGGGGAAAAAGTTAGTTGGTGCAAATTACTTTGTGGTTAGATTGTCTTAAAAAGTTACATGTGTCTGATGGTATAAACTTGAAGCCTACCTCTCACTGATATAACAGATTTTAAAGTAGATTTGAATCCAGTGATGAGTTTTGAAATGCAGATGAATAGACCTTGTTTAAAGTTCAGTGTTTTGAAATGAGCTTGTGACACACATCCAAATATTACAGTGTTTTTTAACTCTGTCATATGCTCAGGTGGTTTGGCTTTTTAAAATCATTTTGAAAATAAAAGTGTCCGAATTTCCTTCTTGGATGGATGCATGCTTAGAAGAACTTTTACCTGTTAGAGTTTTGGAAGTACTTTTTCAAATGCATCGCATGACTTTTAGATACTCAGCTGATGAAAATACACATATATCATCCTGAACTTTCGTGCGTACTTTGTTGTGTCTGTGAAATGTGTGTTCTGCACAAAGGAACTCCTGTGGCATTTCAGAAGTCGTATGTGAACCCCGAACACTACCTCTAGGTATATATGGAGTTGTCAGCACTGTATACCTGGGGGGTTTTAAAAATCTGATATCATGGTATTGATTATGTTGTCCATTCTATTTTAAAAGAAATTTCTCATATTTGTTCTGGGTTTCCTATGTTTTGAAGTATGACATAAATGGCTTTATTCTTCATGTCAGACATGCAGCAAGATGGCAGTGCTTCTTTTACATCTTCTGCAGAAAATGGGGTGTCTAGCACACAGCTAGAGTGGCTTGTACAGCATGGCTGTAAGGGCTGTAACAGGAATACTAATGGATACCCATCACTGCTTTTACTGGGGATGAGGGAACAAGTGGTGCAGCCCTCATAGAGAAGTTAGTTTAATGTTCTTGATCATTTCCTGAGGATTTAACTTAAAATAAATGCTATGACAAGCCCTTGATAAAAATCCCATTTACGTTCTCAGCTCAAAGACACAGTTTAGGAAAAAACTTATGAAACGTGGAGTTTCTTACTTATAGTTAACTTTATTGCCTCGAAGGCGAGGATTCTCCAACTTTTCCAACTAGGGATCACATGTTAACAGAGAGACTATCTTGTGTACCACCTCCCCTGCCAATCAATATCCCATTTGTCATCAGACACTATCCCTGTGGCAGCAACTGCAATTGCTTACATGGAAAAGTATTATTAGGAGGTAGGTTGGTTTTTTCTTTAACAGTCTAATGTGATACGGCCTTGGCAATAGGAAAAAAAACAAAAAACTGAGCATCTTTTTGCTGTGCCTTTCAAATGCTGTTGTGTCAGCTCTGCTCCTTTGTCCCATGTGCAATCCCCTTCCTCTGGCTCCTTGTCTGGCTCGTTTCCCTGCAGGTTTCTCTCCCACCTGCTCTGGTACCTACTGGAGTTGCTTCAGAGGATCGTCTGTGTCTCATCTCATCAGTGGGTCTGTTTGTCAGGATGGCACTTGGTCTTCCTCCCTACCTCTCTTTAGGAAGTAAATCCTAACACAGACAAATAACAGCTTGTGCTTCTGCCTCAGTCCCAGCTTCTTCCATAAAGGTCTGAGCTTCTTCCCCCAAGTGTCTGTCTGTCAGACAGAGAAACCTGGAAACAAAAAGGGTGAGTCAACACCGTGCGACCTGCCAGCTCACCACAGACCACTAAATGGTTTGTAAAGCGAAGTTTGCAGAAGAAATAACTGCAGGCTGATAGCTAGAAAAGCCCTGAAGGGCTGGCGATGATGATCTTGGGGTTTTGCAAATGCTCCCCTAGGTGTTGGTGCATACCAGAAAGATGAGAAACAAGAAATGCTGGCAGCTCTCAGAGCTGTAATGAAAAGTCTTGATATTTGTTTTTTTATTTTTATTTTTTCTGAAAATGCAAGCTTTAGGAACCAGGAGGTCATATGGCCCTCTGTAGCTTAAAGGTCCTGGAAACAGACCATAAAGGAGAAGAACCACAGATGAACTGGATGTGTATTTAAAATACTCCTTTAGGCAAATCTCTTCCTTGATGTTGTACTGCTCGGGGGTGTAACACTGGAAAGCCTCGGGCAAGTAGGAGTCTCTGCTGGCCTTATTCAACAGGTGAAGCAGGTGCTGCGTTTGTATCACTGTATGGAAAAGGCCTAGTGCTGAATTGCCCCCAAAATGTTTGCAGGATCTTGTTTCCCTATTGGTGTATGAGTGCGTTTTGTACTGCGATTTCCAGCTTTGTCTCCGCATGCACCAAAAGCACACAAAGTCCAAAGCAGCACAGGACTGGGAGACTCACCTCACGGATTAATCATTGCCTTGAAATTAAATTGAAGGAGGAGGTGAGCATGGTTTGTTTGTCCCCGTTGTGTCTGCTGGGGCCTGGACCATCCTTTCCTTCTCCACTGTGCTTGGCCGAGTTCTTGATGAGACTTGTACTGGGAAGAAAGCTCTCTCCCTTCCTTCTCATCCTCCTCCAGCCCAAAACTGGGGGTGGTTCTTTTCCAGTGGGGAGACTCTTTGCCACCTGGCAGCTCTTCATTCTCCGAGTTTGATTCCTTTTTGTTGCTCGGCCAGGAGGGATTGTTCCAGGCTGCAGCTTGAATCTCTCTTCTGGCTACATCCGTTTGATGGAAGAGACTTTGTCTTCTGCTCCCATCCATCAAGGCATTAAAGCAGATGGGAATTTCCTTACTATGGACTAGGAGGAAGACCAGAAACATGCAGTAGCTACCCCTTGGACGATGCAGGCTTTGGGAAACGTGGAAGAATCCATAGTTTCTACCCAAAGGGAACCAGCTGTGAGTATAGACAATGGTTCTTGGTTAAATTCCAGCCCGTGGCAGTGGCTGACTCAGTTAGGCATGCCACTTTCTAGAGAAAGTTTCGGGCACTTAGAATTGCAAATAAAAGTTTGAAAATGCTCCCCTAGCTTTGCTGACACACCAGGGGCTGCAGATAGCTGCAAGGAGGGGATCCTGGAGGTTCTTCGTGCCCCGCTGCCTCCTGACCAGGAGGAGAGGAGCCTCTAGCACAGTCCAATCCGATCCAGTCCATTGCAGAGGTGTCCCTTCCACTGCTGTCTTCTGTGCAGGATTAGGAAAAGAGAAATATAACGGAAACAGGCTCGTAGAAAATGAGCCCAGGTCCTCATCGCGCGTGCATTGCCATTTGCTGGCCCTGCAGACAGCTTTTTGGCTGGGGAGCTGAGTTTCTGGCCCCCGGCCAGAGGGGAGCTGCTATTTTCAAAGTTCGTCAGCCAGGCAAAGAGTTTGGATCTAGCTGAAGCTTTGCATTTCCAGCGCCAGCTGCTCCTGATTTGACTAGAAACACTTTTCCTAAGATGTGTGAAAAAATAAAAGTTATTAAAATTACCGGCTTGCTGATTTCCATTTGAATCTGAATAGTCACACTCTTATTAATATCCTGTAATTTATGTCGCTGGTGCTGTACCTCAGCCCTTGGTCTTTGCGCTTAAAATGAAAATGTAATCTCACCTTGTTCCAGGGAGATGGAGTCTGCTGGTACATCGCAAAACCGGGAGGGCAATCAGTGTTTCAGTGTCTTGAACTCGGTCGAATAAGCCCGTGGCACGTTTGCTCTCACCGTCTGGAGGCAAGTCGGAGTTGGGTGCCTAGCAGGGGGGTTTGCAGCGCACACCGTACGAAATTCAGCGGGTTCAGAGGAAACGCAGCACAGAGGTTAAAGGAAGAGGAGGAAGTTGTGTGGTTGAGTATAAAAATGGCAATTTAATAGCATTGATTTCCCTTCTTGCTCTATTATAATGGCTTGACACCAAATGATGACAGGGGTAGGATTATCTTGCTTTCTTCGGGATTGTGCTTCCCCATGTTGTGCCGAAGCTGTTATGGACAAAATAGTTTTGTCTCTACTTCGGTGACAGCGTCTTTCTCCATTGTGAATTCTTCTGTCATTGTATTTCGAGGTGTCTGTCATCTTGATATCGAAGTGCCAATTAAAACGCAGAATTATCGCATAATACAATTAAAATAAAAAACAAGCCCAGTTTACAAATCTCTAATCTAAAGTTAGCTCTTTTTCGGTCACTATTTCTTCACTAATTACAAAAACAACCGTTTTAAAAAAAATTGCAGCTATCAGATATTTTGTTATCTGACCACAGGGTATGAAGTGTTTTTAATTGTTTTTCTGATTAGCTACAAGCTCCCAAATTCAAGTAGAAGCATATTTGTGTTTTCTGTATGAGATCCTCTACCTTAGCAGTGGCTGAGCACGTTTGTGGTACCGTATAAGGATTAATGAAATAAAAAAAAAAAACACCCTCTGCTGCTGCTGATTGACCACTGATGGTAAATGTAATTGAATTAGCAGTGCACTAAAATAAATGTAGACAAAATAAATATAGACAAGAAAATCTGGTGAAAGCTTCTGTAATGTTTTAGATTAATAGGCATACAGAATTCTTCACATTTTTTATTACGTTGTCCCTAGATGAATTCAAAGTAATTGGGGTGGTTAATTTTATTTACACAGAGCCGTTCACAGCGCATTAAATAATAGAGATAATTGAACAAGAATTGTCAAGTGTGTACTGATATCAGACATATTACAGAAGGGAATGTGCATAAAACTTCATTTCTATGCA